ATGGCATCCGTGAGGGAGGTGGCCAGCTTCACCGAGGACCTGCTGTGTCCCATCTGCCTCTCCATCTTTCGAGACCCTCACATGCTGGAGTGCGGTCACAGCTTCTGCGCGCCCTGCCTGGAGCCCTGCATCCCCAAGGGCCAGAGGCGTGGGCTCTGCCCGGAGTGCCGGCGGCCCTTTGCCTTGCGCCGCATGGCTGTCAACCGAGCCCTCTGCAGCCTGGCCGAGAAGGCCCGGCTTCTCAAGCTGGACGAAGGATCCCAGCTGGGTGGCACGGGAGGCTGGTACTTCTGCGAGGAACACGAAGAGCCGCTCAAGCTTTTCTGCAGCCAGGACGAGGGCCCTGTTTGTGTCATCTGCCGCGACTTGCCCCAGCACCGTGGACACGATTTCCTGCCCATCAAGAATGCTGTTCAAGCCTATCAGGTGAGAGATGGGCTGCCCCATTCCTAGAACAGTTGAGTTGGAAGGGACCCATAAGGCCGTGCGGTCCTGTCCCTCAAGGCAGGAGTCCAAGTTAAGGCATCCCTTACAGGTGGTTCTTCAACTGCACCTTGAATGCCTTCACTGTGGGAGAGCCCATAGCTTCCCTGGATATTTGCTTCCGTTGCCATATGGCCCTAACCATCAGGAATTTCCCCTGCTGTTCGGCTAGAATCTGGCTTCCTGTAATTTGCGTCCACTATCCTGTGTCCTGCACTCTGGCATGATGAGGAGGGATTCTGGCCCTCCTCTTTGTGGCAGCCTTTCAGGTACTTGCAGAGTGCTATCCTATCTCCCCTCAGCCTTCTTCAGGATAAACATAGGATTCTGTGCCCAGTTCTCCCTAGTCTCTCCTCACAGGGCTTTGCTTCCAGACTCCAGGTCATCCTCCTTGCCCTCCTCTGAACCCTTTCCAGCTTGTCTGCATTTTTCTTCAACTGTGGTGCCCAGAAATGGACACAGTACTCCAGATGAGGCCTAACCAGTGCTGAGTAAAGTGAAACTAGTACTTCATGGGATTTGGAAGTGATCCTTCTATGGCTAATGGGACAGGTTAGAAATCCAACAACAACAACAACAACAACGCAGTCTAAATAACATTCACCCTTTTTGCAGCCCCATCACATTGTTGACCCATATTCAGCTTGTGGTCTATGACAATTTAAGGATCCTACTCACTTGCTATGTTGTTGAGCAAGTATCCCCCATCCTGTGACTATGCATTTGGTTCCCTTTTCCTAGATGCAGAACTTGGCATTTGTCCCTATTAGATTTAATTGTTATTTTTAGCCCAGCACTTCATACTATCAAGATCACTTTGAATTTTGTTTCTTTTTTCCAGGGTGTTGGCTTTCCTGCCCAATTTTGTGTCATCTGCAAATATGATAAGCATTTTTTGTACTCTGAGAAGGGAACAAGGACCTGGTTAGTTCAATCAGAAAACTCTGGGAGTAGGTTCTTTTCTGGGGAGATAGTGACATACTGTGCTGGTGCTCCTCAAAATGCATGAGGAGATCCCATTTATTTTGTCCAGCTCTGTTCAAGCATCCTTTACGAGCCATCTTCACAAGAGTGGAAGGCCTGAGGGGTTAGTGTCTATGCAGCTACTTCTTTGCTTCCTTCCAACCCAGGTTAGCCCTAAATAATGTCTGGCTTTCTCTTCCCTCTAGGACCAGTTGAAGGCATCTCTAGAACCACTGGAAGAGGGACTCAGGCGGCTGAAACTGAGCCAATGCCGCCAGCAGGAAAACATTATAGAATTAAAGGTGCAGCTGGGCACTGGAGCTGGCTTTTATGCGGGGTGGTTCGGTCATATTGCTTCATATCAGAGCTAGTGTGGCATGGTGGTTAGAGCATTGGACAGGGACTTGGGAGACTGGGTTCAAGTCCCTACTCAGCTATGAAATTCAACGGGCAGGTTCATAGGACACGACAAGCCATGGTGGTTTCTTGTACAGGATGGTCTGTTGTGTTGTCTGAACCTTGTCACTGTATTTCCACATGGTACATTTGCTTTTACAAATTATAAGAAACAACAGTCTGTTTTATGGTTTCCACATTTCACCATGGTCATCTGAAGCTGGCAGCGTGGTTTCCATGGTCCTGGTATGCAGCTACTAGCAAGTTTCCTGGAAAGAGCAGCAGCTGCTGCAGAAGCTGCTCCAGGCATCCAGCATAGAATTAAATTCCAGGTGCGGTGGCTGATGGGACATGTGCCAACAGCAAGAGGACTGAGTGAGGAGGTTGCAAACCACACTAATACAGAAACCACTTAATCATCTTTCAGCACATCCAGGCAAAAAAGTGCACCATGGGAACCACATACGGTTGTTTGTTGTGATGTGTGAACCCAACCACTGTGTGACTCAGAGCTGGTCACTGATTCTTAGCCTAACCTGTTTCACAGAGCCATTGTGAGAACAAAATGAAAAAGAGGTGGATCATGTTTGCTGCCTCGGGCTCCTTGGACAAAATGGAGATAAATAAATGTAACAAATAAACAAATGAAAGAAATACATCAGAATGTTGCACTGTGGAACATGCTTGCTCAAGGGGCCAGCCAGCCATGCCCCTTTCCTGGATGTTCCATTCCCCTTGCTCGGTCTTTCCATTGTCATCACACCTACCTCCAACAACCAGCAACCTTCTCATGAACATTGTGCATGATCATTCTTCACTGGAAACAATGTCTAGATTTTCCCACTGAGCATTTTCCCCTCCGAAATATTTTTTGTGCTTTCTGGATCAGATGAAAGTTAACAGTCATTTTATTGGATTATCTCCAAGAGGTATAAATTGGTATTCTAGAGGACTGGTAGCTTTGGGATGGACACTGCATGTTTCAGCAGAGCAGAAACTTGGAGTGTGACACCCTTGTGCTCTTCCAGACGTGCTCCGAGTCCCTGTCTGACCACGTCACTGGGGAGTTTGTGAAGATGCACCAGCTGCTGAGTGACAGAGAGCTCAGCTTGAAGGAGGCTCTGGAGAATCAGCGAGAGAAGAACTTGGCCCAGATGGAAACCAGGCTGAAGGAACTGAACTGGAAGGTGGCCTCTTGGTCAGAGACCCTCTGCCGGGTGCGGGCAGGACTGGAGTGCAAAGACCAAATCAACTTCCTCAAGGTGAGAGGGATTCTGGGCTGGGAAGTGCTTATGGGGGAAGTCAGAGGGAAGACGGAGGGCAGAGATTGAGAGAGAGAGAGAGAGAGAGAGAGAGAGAGAGAGAGAGAGCGAGAGAGAGAGAGAGAGAGAACCAAATGTAGCCATTCAGGTACAGTTCCCTAAAACTGGAAGAATAGGATGTTCTGCTACCTAGAGATGGGACTTCACATTTCCTCCAGCTTTGTAGGGGCACCTTCTCAGTGTGTCCAAGTTCCCCCAACCCACTTGCATCCCTGCCGTGGTCTCTGATTGGAGATCAGAGATGACAGTGGGGATTCCTTGGACCAAGCTCTACCCTCAGGAGGAATCCATGGCTCTGGGGGCCAGAATGGGGAGCCTGCAGGCTGGTGGTTGTGCACCCCTGGTTTAAGCCACCTGTGCACTGCAGCTTCTCTTTAGGGAAAGGGAAACCTAATCAGAGGACCTCAGGTATTCTGAAGCAGGAAAAAATGGCCAGAAATAAGTGGGTGGGTGGATGGGTGGATGATTGCTCTTGAGCTGCCCTCATAGGAAAGAGCAGCTCCATGTGTTCGGTCACCATGCCCCATGTTCCTTTCTATCTGTTCAGGAAGCAAAGGAGCTACTGTGGAAATAAGCAGTTTACTGGGCCAAGGAGAAGCCCTCGTGAGGGAAGCCCATCTTTTTTCTTGAAATAAGTTCTTTTTTGGCCTTTAACAGCTGCACAGTAGGCAGGAAAACACAGAAAATATGCAGCTTTCCTCACCATTTCTTTTCCAGTTTGGAAAAGCTGTTGTTTTTTCATACATTGGCAGCCATTAAAAGCTGTTGAGCTGCCTCTGACAGGGGAAGAAAGGTGACCACAGCATGAAAGAGCCATTTTCTGTTATTTAACCTGCCCCTTTCTTTTCCTTTCTGTTCAGGAGGCCAAGGAGTTACTGGAGAGGTGAGTACATCTGTGGACATTAAAGTCGGGCCCAATACAGTCGGGCCCAAGGAGAGCCAGTGTGGTGTAGTGGTTAAGAGCATGGGACTGGGACTCAGACGACCTAGGTTCGAGTCCCCCTCAGCCATGGAGCCAACTGGGTGACGTTGGGCCAGTCACACACTCTCAGCCCAACCTACCTCACAGGGTTGTTGTTGTGGGGAGAAGATACAGGAGGAGAATGATGTAAGCTGCCTTGAGCCCTTTGTAGGAAAAAGGCAGGATATAAATCCATAAATAAAATAAATAAAATACAAAATATATGCAATAGCCCTGTACCCAAAAGAAACCAAAACATATGTTTAAAAATAGCATTCACTGTATTGCATCACCATCAATTAGCTGAGCTAGGCAATTCCATATTAAGGAGATTTGGCAGTGGCGAATAGACACAAAACAACTGGAGAGCCAGTGGGGCCTAGTGGTTAGAGTGTTGGGTTGGGACTCAGGAGATCAGGGTTCTAGTCCCCTCAGCCATGATGTTCCCCGGGTGACTTTCATCTCCAACTCCAGTCATCTTGTCTTGGCCTGCTAGATGACTTCAGTGGAACATGGCACTGCTGCAAATTTGCCTACTGAAACTCACGGGGTGTCTTTGTGCTAGTCAGCCTAGCCTACCTCATAGGGTTGTTGTGAGGGAAAACGGAAGAAGAGGAGGATCATGTTAGCTGCCTTGGTTCCTTCAAGAAGAAAAGGGGAGCTATAAATACCATACATACTTACGTATTGGCTGAGTAAGACGTAGCCTAGCAGCCTCAGATGCAGAAGTGGTGAACTACTGACCAGGCCCTTTGTGCCAGGGCCCACAACAGCTGCCCAAATCCCCAGATGTGCCCACAGGTCCAAGGCTGAGGAACCTGATGCCAAGAGTTTGGCCTGAACATACAATGCAGTGGCTCTGTCTGTGGGGCAGTGTATCCACTCTAGGTTTTAGTCTGAGCATTGAAGGAGCTACACATGGTGCTGAATGTATTCTGTGGCTAGAGGATAGGGCTCAGCAGCATGGACAACTCCTTTAAAGTTCAGACTAAAACCCAGGGTGGTTACATCGCTTCCACTGACAAAATGGACATTTCTGTTCTGGAGAGCCCTCAAAGCCTGACTTCACGTGAAACTGCTGCCACCTGGAGGCCATTTGAAGCAGTACAGTTGGCCATCATGGCCGGCCTGGGAGGACATGAAATTCCTCTGAAATGGCTGATGCTCCCCCTGCAGGGTCCGAAAAGAGCAAGGAGCTCAGGTTGAAGAGGAAGAGGATGCCGAAGCTGAGGCGGGAGAAGAAGGATTGGGGGCCAGTAGTGAAGACACAGATGAATGCGAAAATGAAGCTGAAGAGGAGTTGATGAGAGATGCTGAAGGAGTTGTTGAAGAAGAGGAGGAGGAGGAGGAAGAGGAGGAGGAGGAAGAGGAGGAGGAAGAAGAGGAGGAGGAGGAAGAGCAAGAGGCGGTAGCAGGAGCAGCAGCACGGGATGAGGAGGATGGCATTGAAGATGGAGTGGTGCACGTAGACTTGAACCTGGGCGAGTTCAAGGGTCCTCTGCAGTTCTATGCCTGGAAGGAGCTCTTGGGTGCGGTGCATCCAGGTGAGGGCAGAGTTCTGACTGGATCGCCCCGCTTACAGAGCCATCCATGAGCTTGTATGGATGACTGTGTGAACAGCTCCAGTGTAGGTCGGGAAGCCCGCCAAAAGCGTGGCCCCCGATTGGTGGAAATCCTCCTTAGTTTATATGGGATCTTTTAGGTGAAGGGCTGAAAGTACATAGGGTGTGTGTTTGAGGGGGTGGTTGTTCCTGCAAACCCCCCCCCCCCAACTATGGGTTTATTTTTTAGTGTCTCACTCTGGTCTTGGGCCAAAATGAAACAAGGTCCTGATGCTTCCTCATGTGAATTTTAAACAATTTTACGATTCCTGGAAGCTGGCATAAAGGTGTGCCATCTATAGTATAGACTTTAGAGCCAGGGTGTGGAACCTCTAGCCCGTGGGCCAAGTTCCAGCAACTGTTTGAGGGTTTACTGGCCTTTGAAAACATTTTTTCTCCCTCTTGGAAACGCTTCTTCTAAGGTTTAACTAAGACTTTACATTAAACTATGCCATTATTTCGGGGGTTTTGTCCAACATGCCTTCAGTCCTGGCCACATGAAAGAGCTTCTCCAAAAATGAATTCAGCCCTTGGGTCGAAAAATACGTGATCCCCAAGCTTTGGCCCATTGCATGGGGAGCATTCCAGGAAGCAGGTAACCACCTGGCAGGTAAGACTGAAGCTGTCAGGGAGGGAGTGAAGTCAGTGGGCAGCCGACTAGTCTTATGACGGAGTGGCCCATTTTCAGGTATTGCTGACTCCGACCTGGTACAAGCTTCCGTACAAGCGAGATCTAGTAGCTTTGGTTCATTCCTTTTGGACCACAGTTATTCTAGTGACCCTTACATTATCTGACAGCAATAAATCCCATAGGTCAAGGCAGAATCATAGAACAGTAGAGTTGGAAGAGGCCAAGGAGGCCATCGAGTCCAACCCCCTGCTGTTGCGGGATGTTACACCATCCCACTCAGATGGCTGTCCGGTTTCTTTCTGAATGTCTCCAGCATGGGAGAGTCCACCACCTCTCTGGGCAGGTAGGGACTTCGGGCAGAAGTGCTTCCATTGCTTCATTCCTAATTTTCCCTCCACCCTTTTCTCTCCCTCCCCTGCTCACCCTGCCCTCCAGTCCCTGCCTGCATCACCTTGGACTGCAACTCTGCTCATCCCAGCCTGGTCCTTGTGGAGGAAGCCACCGGGGTCAAGTTCAGCCCAGGCCGACCTTTCTGGCGACGGAAGCCCGAGCGCTTCACCTGCAGCCCGTGTGTGGTGGGCAGGAAGAGCTTCTCTACTGGACGGTTCTACTGGGAGATACGAGTTGGGGAGAGCACCGGTTGGGTGGTCGGGGCAGCTAAAAAATCTGTGAAACGCAAGAAGCGCCTGAACTTTCGACCCAAGGAAGGCGTGTGGGCGATTGAGTTGAGGGCTGGGCAGTACCAAGCCCTGAGCGAGCCCCGTACCCCACTCTCTGTCTGCGGGAGGATGGATAAGGTCGGTGTCTACTTAGACTTCGAGGGGGGACAGCTGTCATTTTACAACAGCTGCAGCATGAGCCACCTCTACACCTTCCAAGTCTCCTTCCATGAGGAGTTGCTTCCCTTCCTGAGCACCCAAGCGAGCCAACCTCTCTCTGTGTGGGACCTGGAGCTCTGAGTGCCTGAGGCTTTCCAGGCAAGGCTGTCAATCCACGATAAATATTTTCATAAGATCCAGGTGCTACTCGAAGGACATGTCCTTTCCCGCTTGGTGGAACAGTGCAACTGCACAACTAAAATAATTGGGTTTGTCTCACTTTCATAACTAAATGCTGCATATTCCCTGCATAAAGCAAAACCTATCCTTGCCAAGGGTGCTAGTTAAACACGGAAGTTGAAACTGGAGGGTCATGGTGTCATTGAAAGAGCCTACAAAGACTTGTGAGCAGGAAAGGGCAAGTAAGTGCACGTTAAGAGTACAGAGTGAACAAAGAAAGCCTGGCTAACATTAAGAGACAATCTGGGCATGGGATCTTTTAAGTTTTGTCCCACAAGTTTTGACAATATTTACACTGTCTGCAAAACTTTGTCCTTCACACACAGTTCACAGAAGGTGCTGTGATAAAGTCACTGTTGCCCACCATGGTCAGTGCTCTTAGAGAGCTCTGCAGATGGGTTGGACCCCCTTCGCTTGTACTTCAACAGCAGCTTGATCTGTAGCCGTTGGCCAGTGACCGTCTCTGTTGCCTTCCGATTTCGATACATTAAGTGCGCAATTCTATTGGATGTGCCCTCCCTGCTCAAATTCCCAGAATTCGGGAGCTTCCAAATTTCTTCTGCTCTACTGAGAGGAGTGAGGGTGAGAGGAGCAGTGGAGGTGATCTTTGCTTTTTTGACTTTTCGGTAGATGGACTTTTCAGCCTATCTAGAGAGGGCATCCTGGAGTGGGAGGGAAGGAGGCCAGAAGCGGCTCAGGATAACGGGTGTTCTGGCTTCTCCTCCCCACTCTGCCCTTTGGAATCCTTCCTTTTCTCTTCCTCCTCAGTAGCTTTCCCATCCTTGGAGGGCTGCCTGTGTGGGTCTTTCCATGCAACCCACATGGAAAGGGAAGCCTGATCTCCAACTTTCTGTTCCAAGTGCCATTTCTCACCTTGGTGTGGGGAGTCTGAACTGTTCCATTGTCCCTGAAACACTTGTCTTGGAATCAAAGGATCCCTATTTAAGCTGCAATTGGAAAGCACAGGAGTAGGCCAGCTTCTGGCACCCCACCCAACCCATTTGCAATACTTCTTGTAATTTTAACAGCTATTCGAACAAAGATAAAACCCTTATCACTCTGCATCTTGGAACACATGCAGTTCTAGCATAACTCCTAAAGTCTTTGGGAAAGCTCTCATGCTGTGCACTCAGTTTTCTAGTGGAAAGAAATGTGCTTTTCATATCAGCTGTTTCATTATTCCTTTGGATAGTGCAAATATATCGTTCATATCAACCCATCAGCCAGGGGAATGATGGTGGTGCATCCTTTAATCTCCCCCCACCCCCCTCTGGTCCTGCCACTCAATTTGGCTGAGATCCCCATGTCTGTTTGGTCTGTGTCAGATCTTGTCATGCATCCCGGAGATATTCCAATTTATGCCATTGGATGTCTTGATTATGCCTGATAAGTCCCACTCTCCCTGAGCTCCCAGCCCCAGTTCTGTGCAAAAAATGCTGAGGCACCTAAAAATTAAATCGGTGCCTCCTCTGCAACTGTGCACAATTCAAATGCTGTTTGAAGTGGCATTTCTCACTCATGCCTCACTACACTTAGCTGCAACATTCAAATGATCTTAGTTGATGGCAATAAATGTTAGCTGCTCTGGAGAACTGTCAGTTTGCTTGACTTCTTGAGGTTATAGTTGATGCACCTTTTCTTAGCTGATTTTAAAAACGTATTTTCAGCTTTCTAAATTACAGCTATTGTTGCTGTCAAATCAATAGGCTTATTCCCAGGTGGAACCTCATAGCAATCCTGAATCTAATGTGAGTCATGCCTTGAAATTACTTTTCAGAATGTATGTATAAGACCAGTTAAAATAACTGCAAATTGGTACTCTAGGAATTGCAAACTCCTGTCTATTTATCTGCAGGTTTAAAACTGCTGGATCTCTGCTGATGGTCAAATGCTTGCTCAGGGATAAATCAGAGGTTGATCATGCAAATGCAATTAGTATGCAGGTTTTGAAAAACATATAAATAGCTGCATCCCCACCCTCAATAAGCAGCAGCAGGACCACAGGATGGGGAGATGAAGGATTCAGTTTGGTGGAGTCTCTGTGAAAATTTAGTGTGTGGCTGCCACAAAGAAAGAAAAATTCCATCACTAGGATAGGAAAGGAATAGAAATTAAAACTCTCAATGTCAGAAAATTTTCAATGTGTTGGGTACAACCATACTTTGAATACTGTGTATATACTTCTGCTCACTGCTTCTCAAAAAAGGATATTGTAGAGCTGTGCAAAAAGTGTGAAAAAGGATAACCAAGATGACTAGGAAGCAGCTGCAACTCCTCCCCTGTGTGGGAAACGCTTAGGGCATTTCAGCTTAGGAAGAAAAAGGCAAGAGGGGACATGAGAGAGGAGTACAATATGATAGATGGCATGGAGGAAATAGAGAAGCCTCCTTCCGAATACTAGACTCTGGTGGGGTCAGTCTTATGGTGGGAGATTTGGAACAGACAAATGGAAGTCCTTTTTCACACTGGGCATAGACAAACTATAGAATTTGCTAGCAAGAGATGTTGCAAGGCTGCCAACTTGAACGGCTTTAAAGGATAAAATCCATGGAAGATAAGGCTTCTACTCCTGATGATGATATATTATCTCCAGTTTTAGGAACCAGCCTGCTTCTCAACCAGCTGCTAGGGGATGCAGGCAGCAAGCAGCAATTCCCCTCGTTTTATGGCAATGGACTTCCCACTGGCCATTGTGGAAATTGTGCTAGAGTGGATCAGCCCTTCTCTGATCCATTCAGAATTACTCTTTGTTCTTCAATTTGCCTCCATGAAGCTGCTATTTCTGACAAGAGGTAAGCTTCCACGAGCATCAGTGGAGAGTACTTCACCCAATGCGAACAGCACGTTCTGAGAAATGTTTTCACAGAGACCACTGTAGGGGGAAACAGTTAAATTCTTCCAGCCACTTCGACCTCTAGAGCCGCCCTTTGTAATGTCTTTTAGAAGAGTGTACTGCAGTTCATCACATTCACACAATTAACATCAAGTCTAGTGGGTCCTGGATGAAATCAAGTCAGAGCTTTCCCCAGAAGCAAAAATGACAAAACCAAGGCTCTTGTGCTTCAGACACATCATGAGACAGAAAGACTCCCTGGAGAAGAGAATCTAGGGAAAGCTGAAGGAAGAAGAAGCAGAGGAAGACCAAAGAAGAGGTGGCTTGACTCCATGAAGGAAGCCACAGTCTTGGGTTTAGAGCAGCTGGCAGGGCTGTGGTGGACAGCACATTCTGGAAGGCTTTAATTCATAGGGTCGTCCTACGTAAGAGTTGACCTGATGGCACATACCAAAAACTGGTATTTATTTATTTTATTTATTAAAACATTTTTATGCCGCCCCATTCGCCGAAGCCTCGGGGCGGCTTACAACGTTAAGTTAAAAAAATAATTATAACATTAAATTAAAAAAATACAAACATTAAGTTAAAAATGCAAAAATACCAATATAAAATAAGCCGCCCTGGCCAGATAAAATCCAATAATATTAACAATTAAAATGCCTCTTAAATAAAAAGGTCTTCGCCTGGCGCCGAAAAACAAGTAACGACGGCGCCAGGCGGACCTCTCTGGGGAGCGCATTCCATAACTTGTATGACCCTCGCTTGCAACTTCAAGTACAAATTTGAGGTTGCAGTGACGCTTACTGGCGCCAATGCTTGAGCCCTGAGCTATTCTACATGAAGCTGTTCATGACAAGATCTACGTGACCTGCTTTTCCTTTCCTGCTTTTCCGCTACCAAACATCAAGATAACACTGTGGCTTAGCAGAATAGTACAAATACACAAGCAGCAGAAAACTTGTTCTTTCTGAAATAATACTGCATCTTACTCAAAACAAACAAACCACCGGGAAAGTGCTCTGAGGAGACAGAAGTGAAAACCGAACATTGTTTAAAGAACCTGTGAGCAACAGTGAGGAATGAATCACAAAGGAAAATAGAAAGTGCTGAGTAATAAAGCTCTAAAAGTCAACCCACCAGCCAATTGTCCAGCACAAAACAAGAAATCTGTTCAATTTACAAACCTTTATTCAATATACTAACCAGAGATATTTCAACAAATGAGAATGAAATCAGGATTCTTAGCAAGACACAGAATGCAATAGCGAGAGATATTTACAAGCCACGTACACCAAACAAATGGAGGGTCACACATGAGGATTTTTTAGTGAATGGGAAAAATGACTGAATTTCCATTAAGGGTCTCTGTTACTCAAATCTGATGGAGCAATGATGTGCTGAATCCTTTCATGGTTGCGTTGTTCCTCCTCAGAGGTAGCCAGCTGATTGCGTGCTTTAATCAGCCAGTCCCACAACAGGCTGAGTCCACACAGGAACGTGATTCCAGGGATCAGCAGGAAAATCCGATAAAGAAATAACGAACCTGATATTGAAATACCAGGAGAATCGTTAGAGGCATGTATAAGAAACCCAGCAGTATGTGAATATGGCATAAAGCACTCAACCAGTTTAAATGGCTCTGTCTGCCATTTCACTCCTTTCCCAGAACTCAATAAATATACAGTTTCTCTACATGAAGCATTTCAGCCACCAATGTATGGAGGTTTCTGCTTTGAGATTTTTTGGGGAATTAAAATAATCTCTCTTATGCTCACTCCAGCCATCCCTGTTTTTTCTTTTCTTTTCTTCCCTTTTATGTGTTCCATTACACAAGCACAACAAGGTGTTGCTGCAGTACAGCGGAACTGCAAGAATACATAAACACTATTGCAGTTTGTTCTGCTGGTTTCAGATAATACTGCAGTTTCCTCAAAAAGCAATGGAAATGCCTGGAAAGCACAGGGAAGACCCTGGAGAAAGAGGCTGTCGTGTTCAGCACCTTCAATACTGTGAGGAGAATCCACATACGGAGAACCTGTAGGGATTCTGCAATCAGGCTTAAGAACGTAAGTCATGCTGGATCAGGCCAAAGGCCCGTCCAGTCCAGCACTCCACACACA